TATTATTAGTTTATAGAAGTATTCTCTCTCCATCTTTTCTCCCTCTCTTTCTCCGTGTGTTAAATTACCGGTATAATGATTTATTTTACAAATTGCTAAATCATTTACTCTTTCTCTCTGCATCGCTCTCTCACTCGATATCTCTGGGTTCATTCAAATTCTTGTGACTTAATGTTGAATACATGTACTTTTTTATATCAGTTTATATTCCTGATAATATATTATGACTTATATAATCTCGGAGAAACGATAAAAATTAAAAAATAAGAAGTATTATTTCCGAATTCTGTCTTCTGTTCAGTTCATTTCATGTTCAGATTAATACCGTAATATTATTTATTTATTGTTTAAAACAAACTTTCGTCGGCTATTGCACGTTTCAAAAAAAAAAAAAAACAAACAAACAAACAAAACAAAACAAAAAAACATAAAACAATTGCAATCGACAGCTACGATTAAAATAACTAGAGTACAACCAGAGGCATGCAGTGTGACTCTGGTACAATATTAATGTACTTCAGTTTTTAATTCAAACGATTTATTTTCTGTAATAAGCATTTTTTTTTACTTTTTAATATACATGTACAATTGCAAGTTTCATTGATAATTTACATGTACCCGGTATCACGGTTTGTGAAAATTCTGTCTTGTTAGGAGTGGTCAGTTAGTTTGTATATTTGCAACTTACATCAGTGGTGAGACGCGATCAAAAGGCAATTAGGGTCTATTGTTAGATTTACCATTGCAAATAACATGCTTATATACAAGAACCTACCTTGGTTCTGCCCGAGTGCGTAAGGGTGTGGAAGAAAAGCCGCGGATCAAGGATTTTTAAAAGAAAATTATTATTTATTAGTTCACTCGAGCTCGTATCCGTATTTTTTCATGAAATTCTACAGGTTTCCTGGTACTGTTAGATGATACAAAGTTTGCGGATAAAATAGTTATATTATTCAATTAAAAATTTCAACAATTGAAAGTTGTAATCTTCTTCCAAATAACTTGATGGCTTGTCCGAGTAGTCTGAAAGTCGTCCTTCACGTTTTTTTTTCAGCCACATTTCTCACCTCCTCTAGTTAAAGATCGTGAAGTGCGGAACACGATCTCGATTTTAATTCCAAATATTCAAATGCCGCGTACTAGTGTGGTATTCTGACATGGATTTGCACAATGAAGATAATTATATATTTCTCGAACTATTTTGACCAGTGAAACATTTCTTCAATGGTGAATACATTTTCTAAATAAGTGTATGTCATTCGTAAGTTATTAGCTTAGCTACTATAGGAACTCGGGTCAAATTATAATGTATATTTGACTTGTACCGCTGATCATGAATAAATGAACGGATTTTTCATACTTAAAAGTGTACTTATGTACTTATTTAAGGTAAATGTCATAAATATCCACTAGTACCAGACTGACATTGCCCCCCCCCCCCCCCAATTGAATGTGGACATTTTTCTATAACAAATCACTATTTATCTAGTTAATATTTATTTTAAAAAATTAATCTTCTATTGTTACTCTCAACTCAATAAGAGAAGGAAAAAAAAATCACAATCGATCTGTAGTTTGCATTTTTAGGCAATTAAAACTAAGATAATAAAAAAAAAACTTAATATAGTAAGGGGTATTTCGTTTTTTTTAATATTAATTTTAGATAAATAACTATTGATAAATATATAAATATTATTTTACTTTCCATATGGTCATGAAGTTGACACAACATATTATCAACTAATAGAATTTACAGATGATAGTAAATGTGCAATAATGAATTATAATTTTTTATTAATTAATCTTTCTTTAAAATCAAAATAGAAGCGGGGTCCACTGTCTACTGTTTAATTCATAGTTTTCCTGTTTGATATACGTTTTCTGTTGAGTGTACACGTTACATCATGACATCAAATGTCATTGACTAAACCGAAATGTCAAAGGCATTTGATGTTCTATAATTTGAAGTGAATTCTTTAATCCTGCTTTTATTTCTGCAATACGCTACATGAAAAATGCTGATTATTAAAACAATTAAAGGTTGAAAAAGAAAAAAAATCCATGCAGAAAAGAAATGTAGCCATTTACCGCATAATCGAGCGACGTGGAAACGACAATTAATTATTCAATATTATTTATTACCTGTAATCTATGGGATTTTTTTTACTTTTTAGATACGGTATTAGTGTATACTGAGTGTACTTATCAACACAAAATTATCACTCTCAAAAAATATTTAATTTACTAAGTCTAAACTACCCAAGGCGTAATCTAAACAATTAGTGAAGTTAAAAAATCTGTAATAATAGGAACTGCAAAGGCAATAAGTCTAAAAAAAATCACAGTATGGTTCAATGATGTACAGTGCCAAACTGGGATGCGTACATTGAACTTCAGTGATGTGCAGTGCCAGTCTGGGACGCGTACAGTGATCATTAGAAGTGTACTGTGCTGTACAGAGGTTGAGTACTGTACGTGTCTGTGATGTACAGTGTTGTACTGTAGAGGCGTACAATGACAGACAGTGGTGTACTGTGCTGTACAGTGGAGGCGTACAGTAATGTACAGGGATGTACTAAAAATAACAGTGACTCTGTACTGTGATTTACCGAGGATTACAGTAGGTACTGGGATTTTGTACAGTGACTGTACAGTGTTTAAACAGAGAAAAGCAGAACTTTGACAGTGGGCAACAGAGTTTATCAGAGATTTTTCAGAATATCAGGGAATTTTAAGTTCAGTAGTGTCTTGGAATCACTTGGTGGCACCACCACCACTTATTACTGATAACGGTTATTAATAGTCTTATAGACCCTTAAAGTTGCCCGGATTATAATGTTCGAAACATACTTCAACGTAGTTCACACTTGCGTGTAATTTTTCAGTTTACAATCGATAGAGTAACCAATTTTCAGGTTTGCTTATTGGCCCTGTCATATTCTTGAGGTCCCTGAAAGAGTTGAAAAGGCATTCTTCTTGAAGTAGTTAAACATGGCTGTCTTAGTGCTTGTTTGATGAAGTGGACTAAGATGACTTGGGTAATTTATTATACCCCCCGCTTGAAAAGCGGGAGGGTATATAGTAATCGGTAATTCCGTCCGTCTGTACGTCTGTCCGTCCGTCCGTCCGTCTGTCCGTCCGTCCGTCCTTCCGTCTGTCCGTCCGTCCGTCTGTTACGCTTTGGGGTACCCAACTCTTATCCGCAACTCCTCTCATACCACTGAATGAAATTTGATGAAACTTTCACAGAATCTTTATTACATATTGCCATTGTGCACCTCCTATTTTACTTTTTGATATGACACATACTTTGGGTTTCCCGGCCACAGGAAAACATAGACTTTTTCACCAGTAATAACCATATGGGAGGCGGGGGGTATTATTTAGTGAGCTCATCGCTCACAGTACCTCTAGTTTCTATTTTTTTCAGTTTCAAAAAAAAAACTTTTTTTCAGGTGAACCTTACTGCCTCCGAGTGTCTGATTTATTATATAATTAATTTTCGCATTAATTATCCAATCATTAACCCTTAATTATCTAAAATAAAGTATTAAAAACAATACTGCCTCTCAGTACTCTCAGTTCTTTGATGAATTTCCTTATTGGCTGCTAGCTTCTACGGGCTAAGTGGCTGCTGTTATTGGCTGCTAGCTTCAGCCTGGTGAATGAGCCCGGCTTTCAGAACTTCTAAATACTTTGATTTATAATATTCCCTTTGGTTAGATCATCACTTAACTCAGTATTAATCAGACTTCAGTGTCTATCGCATATGAGCAACTGGAATTCTGGGTACATTTTATTTCTCTATAACCTGTTTAAACATTTACTATATCATATTTTCCTTGGGTGAAGCTTAAATAGAATATGGGAAGAAGAAATCCATCTCCTCTTGATGTCATTAATTTTAAGCCCCTGAATTGTTTTGACATTCTATGCAAAATTCAGACTAATAGTACGATCAAATTGAATTCAGAGAATGAGAAATATTTTTTTAATGCGTTAAAATTTCATGTAAATCTGTCACATGAGTGTAATAATACGATTAATTTATACGGAAGACAAATGATCATATCACACGTTCTTCGCCAGACCCAGGTACATGTTGAAGGTATTTTTTTTTTATCTAAGGTTATGTTTCCTGGTGAATTCATTGCTTGCAACACATAAACATTTATTTCAAAAGTAAAATTTATGATTTATACTTTGCTTTTTAGAAAGAAAAGTAAATGCTTACTTATGTGTTATGTTTTGGAATTCATCGAGTACATCAAGCGAATTTATACTGATGACATTAGTTTAGAATCTTTTAAATAATCCCTAATATTGTTATAGAGGGATGCATATTTAATGTAACTTGCTCTATCTAAGACTTTAAGTCTCATGTAAATGAATTTACACATTATTTTAAAACATATACAAACATTGAATCCGACATTAACGTTCAGCACAATCTTTTCTCTTCTTCATTAGAGCTAAGGTTAAAAGGAGATGGCAATTTTAGCTCAGCAATAAAACAATATGTAGATGAAGAAAAACGAATAAAAAGAGCAATAGAATTCATTTATTGTTATTGAACGTGACATTAAACAACAAGTCTAAAAGCATATTTTTGTTATATATAATGGTGAAAACACAAAGGAAATTTTAAGAAGAATTTCAAAATACTAGTAATTGTTACAAGAGGCCCATGGGCCACATCGCTCACCTGAGCATTGTGGCTGGGAAAAAAAGCATAATTCATTTTAATTATCATTAAAAAATTGAAACCCAATAGTGGTCCCAAACAATCCTTGAAAGGAAGAGGGTATGATTTGAACAAACTCGAGTCTACACTAACTAAGGATGCTTGCATATTTCTTTGACAACTGTGGCTTTATTGCCCTTTACATTTCAACTTACATTGTGTCCCCACTCTACCCCCAGGGGTCATGACTTGAACAAAATTGAATCTACACTACCTGATTATGCTTCCATACGAATAGGACTAATTGTGGCTTTGCTTTTTGAAAATAAGATTTTTAGAGATTTTCCTACATGTTTCTATGTAAAACTTGGATTCCATGTTGTGGCTCCGCCCTACCCCCATGGGTCATGCTTTTAACAAAATTGAATTTACACTACCTGAAGATGCTTTCATAAAAATATGATCATTCATGCCTTTGCTATTCCAAAGAAGAAGATTTTTAAAAAGATTTTCCCTATATATTTCTATGTGAAACTTTGATCGGCCATTGTGGCCCCACGGGTCATAATTTGAACAAAGTAGAATCTCCACTACCTGAAGATGCTTCCATATAAATATGATCATTCATGCCTTTGATAATTCTTGAGAAGAGGATTTTTTAACAAATTTTCCTATATATTTCTATATAAAACTTTGATCGGCCATCGTGGCCCCGCCCTACCCCAAGGGTTCATGATTTGAATAAACCTGAATCTAAACTACCTGAGGATGCTTCCCTATAAGTTTCATCTTTCCTGTTTCCTATTTCTATCTAAAACATTGGTCGGCCATTTTGGCCCCTCCCTACCCCCCAGGGTCATGATTTGAACAAACTTGAATCTATACTACCTGAGCATGCTTCCATATAAATATGATGATTTATGGCTTTGTCATTCTTGAGAAGAAGATTTTTAAAGAATTTTCCTATATATTTCTATGTAAAACCTTCGTCGGCCATTTTGGCCCCGACCTACCCCCGGGGGTCATGATTTGAAAAACTTGAATCTACACTACCTGAGCATGCTTCCATATAAATATGATGAATTATGGCTTTGTCATTCTTGAGAAGAAGATTTTTGAAGAATTTTCCTATATATTTCTATGAAAAACTTTGGTCGGCCATTTTGGCCCCGCCCTACCCCCGGGGGTCATGATTTGAACAAATTTGAATCTACACTACCTGAGCATGCTTCCATATAAATATGATGAATTATGGCTTTGTTATTCTTGAGAAGAAGATTTTTAAAGAATTTTCCTATATATTTCTATGAAAAACTTTGGTCGGCCATTTTGGCCCCGCCCTACCCCCGGGGTCATGATTTGAACAAACTTGAATTTACACTACCTGAGGATGTTTCCCCATAAGTTTCATCTTTCCTGGCACAGTGGTTCTTGAGAAGAAGATTTTTAAAATATACCACTAAATTTTCATTAATTCCCAATTATCTCCCCTTGAATAAGGGCGTGGCCCTTCATTTGAACAAACTTGAATCCCCTTCACCCAAGGATACTTTGTGCCAAGTTTGGTTGAAATTGGCCCAGCGGTTCTTGAGAAGAAGTCGAAAATGTGAAAAGTTTACAGACAGACAGACGGACAGACGGACAGCTAGACAGACGGACGCCGGACAAAATGTGATCAGAAAAGCTCACTTGAGCCTTCGGCTCAGGTGAGCTAACAATACTGTATAAATAGAGTTCCCTTCTTTTCAATCTCGGAACATCTACATGTGTGCAGAACACTCCAAACATGTTTAGAAGACGAGTTCTTCTGAATCTGTTCTTGAGTAGTTCAAGACTGACGAGGTAATTGTGTTCTCAGGAAAAGGAAGATCCTCTTTGAAGGCTTTACTAAATATTTCAGCCAGATCATTTCTGTTGATGATCATTAATCCTTTATGAATTCTACAATAAGAACCTATTACAATCGATTCACTATGCACAATTTCCTTTCCAAGAATTTATATGTATGATCATTTTAGACGTGACCCCGTCTATTAGTTTTCTGTCTGTCGAGGTCTCAAAATGGAAGTCTTGGGGAGAACACATGAATTAAATCTACGCTATATGAAAGAGTGCGGAAATTGTTTTGATCAAAATACAAAAATTGTGTATCAAACTGAAGAAAGTGATATGAACTTTTTTTCTCAGATTAATGAAGCATTTTTAGATTTTAAGCTGAAAATATAAATTGTAAATCACACTAGAAACAAAATACTTTCCTGCGTAGTATTACGACTGCGTACCCATCATTCAATGTTTACTTCTGGTTTTTACTTACTTTCTGATTCTCACTCTACTATGTTTTGATCCTCCCCAAAGACGAAGTAATCTAAAGGTTAATTCTTTAGCTGGATTTTCTGCTTCAAAGAGTTCCTGTTTTATGGAGATTGGGAGACCCATCTGTAGTGCAAACAGACCAGCTTCGTCCAGTGTAAAGCATTTACAGAGGGCATTTATGCTGGAAGGGTTCAAAACGGAATACGTAACTAAAATATAAAAGGAAGTACAATTTAAGACATTGTATATTTGCATGAAATTTGAACAAAATAAAATAAGTAATGAAAAAAAGGAAAGTGGGTATACGTTTGAAATATAACATTTTGAATTTTCCTCTTATGAATATTGCATGATCATTTAAAAATAATATTCAGAAATTATTTTTCCTGTGAACAAAAAAACTTGAAAGTTGAATCAGATAAAATTGATATTTATCAATCATATCTTCACATTTTTATTTATTTTAGTATTAAACCCGTGAATTCCATTTAAAGATAGTTCTCAAACATTCATCTATCAAGACCTATCATTATCCTAAAACGTCGTATGTTAGACCCGTCTTTTTCATCTATGATTCCTTATTTAGAAAAATTGCTCGTTGACAAATTTCCTCAAAAATATTTCTGGAAAGAATGACTTACTTTCAGTGTTTTCACTTGCAGCCACCTTTTTAAATTTCTCGTTCTCTTCCTTCGCCTCTTCGGATAACTCTGAATAAAATACATATGTATGTAATAAAACAAACTAAATCTCAAGTCATCAGAACATGATAGATGTAAAAAAAAAATCAGTACATAAACATGGACAAAGAGAAATTTTAAATGTGGGATCAGGTGGCTATTCGGATTAAGAAGCTTCCCCTGTATAACCAAGTCGCAGCCGCCTTGAAAACTTTGTATTAATCCACAAGACAAAACATTTCGTAGTGCCAATCCAGTATAAAAACAGAAAACTAACACTTACAAATTAAACAAGTACATGCAGTTAAAAGACAACCCACTGGTAGGAAACATTTTGTAACAAGGTTATGGTTGAGTAACTCCCATATAATGGATGATAAAATTCCTATAACATCAAATTAAGTGTAAGAAGTCGATCTCCATTCAAAAATACATCCAATGTAGAAAGTATATGTAAGTACGTGTAAGGGACTTAAATGTATTCATAAGCAACATATGTATGTGATAGCGAAATTTTGCTGAAAAAATAAGGAATGACGATTGGAAAACCTGACGCCATTTCGTCTATTAAACAATTCAATTGTCAGTTTGCTCACATGGAATGTCTTGCTGTGTATTTGAGAGTGAAACCCTCTGTAAAGAATCCATAGGATTACTAGTATATAGCCATCCATCTTTAATCACTTATAGCCAATAATACTATAATCTAAAGGTACAAAATAACCGTATTGTTGAAGTGTGTCTTTAAAGCAAGGCGCCGCTTTAATCATGACAATGTATTATCAACAATGCATTCAGTAAAACTATTATTACCTGATAAGCTCTCCACAGATCGTTGTGAGGAAGGAGAAGCTGGCTGTGGCTCTACTTCCTCTGGTTCTAGGGAAGGTAAACAGAAAAAAAAGAAAGTTTGCAAGTTAAGTTAAGTTGTAAGTTTGCAACTTAAGTCAAGTTGTAAACCAATAAATATGTTTATAACCGTTACAAGTATACGCGACAGGTATTTGAGTGTTGATTTTTATTTGTGTATCCAATCTCTGACTGGTCGAATAATATATTACTCACGTATTAAGGCATTGATGGTTTAATTCGTTGCCGATCGTGTAACAGAATCCCACATGCACATCCCCTTTTTTTGTTGTTGTTTTTTTTATATTGATGTTAATAATGTATGTATTTTTCTATATTGTAGAATGTTAAATGAAGAAAAGCAAAAGTTTTTTATGTAAAACATATGACGAGCTGTTCCTAATTGTTGTGTTTTGAGTTCATTTTCTAATTATCTTATGTTCGTTGAAAAGGTGAATTAGAGTTTCAAGTTTAAAGTTTTTATTTAAGACAAAGACACCAACTGGGGTATACAAATACAAACATAAAAGCATTTATCAATATGTGTTAGAGTTGTCCCCAAAACCTGTAGACTTAAATCATTTCTTTACAGAAATCATATATCTCTTTTAAAAAACTCTGGTAGGATAAACTATGCTGCTGCCTAATGAAATATTAAGGTTCAAAATATATTCTTGAAAATAATCCCATTTATAAGAAATATAGCATTATTGTTTCCTAATACCAAGAGCAATCTACAACGTCAATATATATACAACGTTCAGATTTTAAAGGAGTAATATACTATATTATTAAAAAATGTTTTTAAAAAAAACTGCGATACCTGTTAAGATTTCCATAGACTGGTGTAAAGATGGTGACTTCACTATTCCCGGTTCAGGTGTAGGTGCTTGTAAAGTCAAAATATATGGTTGTCATTTTATTAATTCAATAATAGTTTGAATAGTTCATATTTGAATTGTAGATTTTTTTAATATAGCTTTCAATAATTTATATTTGAATTGTAGTTTTTTTTTTAATATACTAGTAACTTTCAATATATAATTAATATTCAAACTTATAAGCAGGTAAATTAACTGAATATTCAAGGATATGGAGTCGGTTAAGAAGTACTTACGTGATGGAAACTTTAGATTCACTCCCATGTCAGCGAGTCTGGAATATTCTAATTTCTCTCTCTTCTCCGCCTTTATTTTCTGTGATTGGAAGCAAAACAGCATATTCTCCATAACTATTATCTTTTCTTCGTAAGGCACAGTAATACCTCTGTGAATTTGCATTCTAATTTTCGGTTCTTCCACTTCGTCTGTTATGATTCTGGTAACAATATGGTTAATTTTTCGTTTCTTGTGAAACTCTAAAATTCTTTCGGTCATTGATTCATCATCGAAGACATTTCCTCCAAATTCGATCTGAAAAAGATAAATGACTCAATGTAATACGGTCCATTTATTTCTACTGAAAGGGTAATGTAAAAAAAGAAACACAAAATAATGGTATAATATCAACATTCCTAAATGTTGAGGGGGAGCTGATACTATGTAAGAAAATAGTAAATTAACAACGAGTTATTCTGAAAAATTTATTTTTATATCAGATATTTATTATTCTGAAGGGAAAAACACTGTTGCATTTTAATTTTTGAAAAAAATTAAAATATTCCATATATCCATTAAAAAAAAACAAAAAAACAAAAAAAAAACAAACTCAAACATGCACAAGTTCAATGCATTTGAGATACCTAAAAATCTGACATAATATGCTTGCAACACTTTTGAAAAGCATTAATGTAAGTATAAATATCATTATAAAACAATGGTAAAACTGTCAATAATCATGCATTCATAGTAGAGTTTTTATATACTTCGTGTCTGGGAAATGATGGCATGCATGAAAAAACCTCTGCACCTTAAATGTTTCTTCCGATTTGATTTCGTAGATGTCGGACACTTCCGGCGATTCATATCCCTCGTCCTCCCAGTATTTCTTTCTGTCCGATAATTTCTTCTCAGTGGAAATTTCAATGACCACATCAAAGCTCGTCTATTTTATACCAAGAAAAAAATTGTCTTAGACCATTCATGCATGTTTAAGTACTATAGTTTGACTCAAGAATACATTTAGATGATATTTTTATGTTTAAAGGTATAATGATATATTTTGGCATATTAATGTTTTATTTTATAATTTAAAAGTAATTTTTTTTCCCCTATTCGGAAATATTTTCTTATTTTATACTTTTCTGTATTTAAAAAAAAAACGAATGAGGTCTTACGTCGTTTTCCCATTTAGTCATGATAAAGAAGTGGACGTTTTTGGTTCCACGTCGTGTCTGGTTAATTGTGTCCACCACTTTCTGCAGCTGTTGTTCTGCTATCTTTTTCTTGGTCACTGCATAACTACAAGGATATCATTTTGATTTTCTGTTTTACATATGTAATACAAATCATTGTCTGTTATTAATATTTTTTTCCTTTTATTGAACTTTAAACAAATGAACTATGCTGGGACTTACAATTTTAGAACACTTGACATACTGTAAACCAACATTTATTCGCGTGAGAGAAATATTCGCGAGTTTTGCAACCTCTTTGAGTCGCGAATATTAATCGCCGCGAATCATTTATTTCGCTTTGTTTTTGTAGAAAACGTTTCCTCATTCGTGAAAATTAATCACCGCGGATTGATTTCAAACTGAGGAATCGCGAATAAAAGATGACGCGAATAATAGTTGGGTTACAGTAATTTGGTGATAATTTTTTTCTCTCAGGGCAAAAATTTAATATTTAAGTTTAAATTCACACTGTTATTGCAAATAATATTTCAATTTTTAAAATATGAAGATAAGGAACAATAGGCGATCACAGAAATCCAATGAAATTATGATTGGTGAATATGACATTATGTACACATGGAAATATCAGAGGTTGGATCAGATACGTAGGACAATTAAACATCCCCTGTTGAACAATTATAATTTCAAAAGTATAAAAGTGTATGATAACATGAATAGGAGTGAACAACATGATTTTCATCTGGTACTGTTCAGCAGATATATGTACTTTTTCATAAATCGGATAAAGTTTGATAAAAAGACATTTTTAAATTGTCCGGGATTTCTTTACCAAATGGATAAAATTTATAAGAAAAAAAACCTTTTTTTGTGACCTTAATCAATATAATCCTCTTTGAAAACAATATGGACAAAGTTTAAATGCTGTAAGAAATATCAAACAAAATATTGTATGAGGAATGCCTACTTTAACATTGAAAAAAAAATTACATTGTGTAAGATAAGTATTTGTATCTTTTCAAACTATAAAATACTTTTATACGTATATCATCGTAAATACATTTAAATCTTTGTGCCTTTTTATGAACTTTCCAGGAACATTCTATATATTGGCTTCGAATTTAATCCCAAAAAATTAATTATGAACATTGCTAGATCTAAAAATAATTATACAAATCTAAGAACAGAGCACAACAGTGAGAGAAATGTAAAACCATTGTTTGAGTGTTCTACAAATATTTGCAATGAATTGAAAATACAAAACGAATATGCAATACCTACAAACTTTTAAAACTTTCAAAAAACTGATTTCAAAAGAACTCATGGAAATGTTACAATATATTCATATAGTAGGTAAATCAATAAATTGTATCAATATTAAAAATGCAAAAGTAAATGGAATACAGTAAATGAATGCAAAAAATGATATAAAAAGGACACACTTTTAAACAAACTTCCAAACTTGAACTCAGATTTTATGTCTTAACGCTTTGTATGAATTGTCTGTTTCTCTGTCCTTTTTACTGTCCTTCAGTTGGTTCAAATTTGCTGCTTCACTTCCTTTTATATGCTTCATCACATCAAGCTAATGTTCAGCGTGTCTTTAATCTATATAAGGTAAAATGTAAAAGGTAAAAATCCTCAACAAAACAGCTTTGTGAAGGGGGATAAAATATTGACTCCTGGAGATTTAAGAAGTGGGATCAGGTGCCTAGGAGGATAAAGCATCCCCCGTTGACCAATCACATCCACTGGAAGCCCTATGTATTGATGAGTCAGATGGAAATATCCATATTTATGCAATTCAATAAAACAGGCCAAATAAATGGTATGAAACAATCCATGAATCGATTTTGTATTTTTATCTGCTTTCAGGATATTTGAAGGTTAAACGACCTTTTATTCTTCAAAGGAATCAGGTTATTCTTGTGGCTAATGCACTTGTTTTGCTTATGGGTTCCTATCAAAATACCCGTGCATTTTAAAATGCTGTGTTTTACTTGTGTAATCGAGAAAATCGATTATTGCTATGCCTTTAAGATATGAAGATATGCATATTTCTGATGAGCTTCAAGTATAGGAAGATACTATCCATGATGAGTTGTATCAGGTGGTTATTTAAAGCTTTTTGTTTCCCAGATTGGCTGAATTCCGATCTCTGACGACAAATTAATTTTTTTCGGTATTCAACAATTGTAACATCTTCTTATAACCCGCATACAGGGTTAATGTCTTTCAATTTATTCAACATGCTCTACATTTTACGTACAAAACTTACTGACAAATAAGTTATTGATATATGCTGGTGAGCTTGAGACATAAGATACCACAGAGTCTGACACATCTGTTTCATACTTGGATATTTTACTTGAAAAAGACGTTAATGGTAATCTAACAACCAAGTTATAGGATAAACCTGATGACATTAACTTTTCTATCGTCAACTTCCCTTACTTATGCAGCAATATCCCTTCATCACCTGCATACGGAGTACATGTATATATATGTCTCAGTTGATTCGATACACAAAAGCATGCTCTACGTATGAACAGTTTCTAAAACGAGGTGAATTATTGACAAGCAGTCTCGTTTGAAGTCATCATTTCGTAAGTTCTAAGATCAATACCATGACCTTGCCAGCAAATACAAGTTATCATTGAGTCAAATGCTGACTGGCGTTTTTCATCTAATTGTTAGTCAATTATTTATACACTGAATTGACGACGGATTTTTCCGTTATTTCCTGATCATGACAAGGAGCACACGGAAGGTGTGACCAGTCAGCAGGGGATGCTCACTCCTCCATGGCACCTGATCCCACTTCTGATGTTTCGGAGGTCCGTGTTTGTTCTGCTCCCATTTTGTATAGTTTTATGAACTTTGAGATTGAATACTGTTCGTTATCTCAATATCCTTCCTTATAAAGGAAGCAAGAATATCAGCAGTTTCGTTTTAAGTCCTCATTTTGTAAGTTCAATGGTCGAATCAAGAATTTTTTAAGCAAATACAATTTATCATTACACATGCAAGTAAAGCGCTGAGTGACGTTGTTCATATTAATTGTTACGCCCTTATTTACATATTTTTCTGCGTTATTCCATGCCAATTAGCACAACAGACAACAGGAGTGACCCGTTCCCATGGAATGCTCACTCCTGCATTTCACGTAGTCCCAAATCTGATTTAAGGAGGCCGTTGTTTGGTCTGCTCCTGATTAGTTAGTTTAACGGTATATCTATATAATTTATAAACAGACATAAGCAAAATGTTTTGGCTATCCTTGTTGAATATTTTATCATTGCGAATTTGTAAGTATTTATTAATTAGAATTTTAAAATGAAACATACGGAGATAACAAACAGCATTCAAGATCAAAAGTCTATAAAACAATACAAAATAGATGCAGAGCAAACACGAATTTAAAATTATTGGGGGTTGGGTCAGATGCCATGGAGTGAGCATTCGATATATTCTCCTGGCCATGATATAGAAAATTCAGTGTATAAATAGTGGACTGAGAAATTGTATGAAAAATGTCAATCGGCATTTGACCCAATTAAAGAATTCAAGAATCATTACGTAGAACTATAATTGCACTAACCAGGATACCATTAAATCTTGTTCTTGATTACGCTTTTTGTAAGCAACTCAGTTTGATTGATTGATCGTTGACTAACGCCCTTCTCGAGATATCTTTTTATTCATATGGATGCGCCACCACTTGCCAGATATACTCAACACTTACAGTCATTAAGCAGTGAGGGATCATTTTCGTGCCGGCACCTATTGCAACACACTTCGGTATGTACGGTCTCATCTGGAGGATCAATCTTGACGTCCCAAAGTGGCATTCGAACCCATGACATAAGGATCAACTCCTTACTTCGTAACTCTAGAGCAGACTCTAACCTCTGCGCATGCGCCACTCAGCGACTCAATTCAGTTTATAAATAATCACCTAACAATCTGTATTAAGCAAGACGTATGTAAGATATGAAGAAGATATATATTTGTATTGGTTATAAAACATTCATTATGTTGACTTTAAACGATTTATTTATATCCTTGTGACATTGATTTATTTGAAAGTGACCTGTATCGGCTATAAAACTGTATATTGACAGAACATATAAGTGCATGTCAAGTCCTTTAGAAAAAATAACCACCACACGCATGTGATAAAAATCATATTGCAAAATGAATATAAAGGTAAATTTATGATTTTCAAAATAAAATAACATTGTATTTTTCCATCAAAACACTCAAAGAATATATGATAAAATTGGAATTTTATTTCAAATTGATTTTGTAAATTATTTGCAAATTAAGTTTTGAGTGATCATACGTTTTCAACTTATGAAACGATACAACTTAATATTTATAATTAAGAATTCCTATGACAATGTATCCATGAAAAACTATTTTCATTAATATTATTACTTTAATGAAGGATATGGTTTGAAAACAGGGATATCAGTAGTTTCCTCCCTTTGTATAGCATTTTAAAATGTTGAATTGGTTTTGAGTCTTATATATCGGGTTCGAAATTATTTGTGGGACGTGTAGACTATACAAAGCAAGGTTCCATGTTGTAGAAGGTGTTGGAATGAAAAGCTTTGAATGCAAAGTACAAATCTGAATTTGCAGCCCATCTCCAGCAAATGGTGGCGTCTGAACATGGGTGAAATGAAACATTTTCGAAGAGAGTGAGTGTAAATTTTACATTAACAGTCAAAGAAATCAAACGTATAAAGTGATTATAAATGGTAATTACAAACCGGCAGCAAATTAAAAGTGATTATAAAACTGGAAAATTTCAACTGACGTTTTAAGCTTAATAAAGATTTTTCATCGCTTCATTTAAAAATCAGCATTTTGCAAATTTTGTTGAAATAACTTCCTTTTTTTTTTTTTTTTTAATAATATACATTTCATTTTATACTATTTTAGCAAAAATGTTTTAAATTGATTTTTTATCCTTTACATTTGTATCAAATTTATATAAATATAAATCAATTTACCTGCCAGAGATCTAGATCAATTTAAAAATTTACAGGTTCGTGTGTGTTTCTGATCCACACAAGATGCACATTCTTTCGTGGTATTTACTTAACATCTCATATTTCAGAAATGAGTATTAAAAATTTGAGTGCATTAAATTTCAGTGGAATTTTTTTTTCAGAAGACATACGAACACATACATCGTCATCAAAGATTTTGAGATATGTGATTTTTCATAGCATTTTACACAACATATCCATACATTGAAGTGGGCGACGGCTGTGGACACTATTATCGAAAGGACGATAACCATAGAAATGAGTCACTTCGAGGCTTCGCTGATTAAAATCTAAAAATGTACCATATTAATGACGTCATGTTTCTAGAATGGTCATCCTTAATGCCATATTATTTAATGATCTATCATGTTCATCTACTCAACTCATTTTAAAGCCAATTTAGTTACTCTGTAAGAACATAACATTTTTTGTGCACAATAATGTCCAAACTGTACCATTTTCTTTTTCAATTTTTTACGCACCAATGTATCGAAAGTTTAATAGCCCAAAGTATGAAATTGAAGAGTGGAACACAATAACATTATCAGCGGTTTTCGGGACAATTATTTTAATGATTAAATGCTTACAACTGAAAGTTTTTTTATAGACACGTATAAAAAAAAATTGGA